CACGAAATACTTGCAGATGCGAAAACAACTGAGTTATTTTAACTACAATCATTTCTCTCTTTAGTGGTCGTTCTAGAGTGTGCTTAAATATCCTTAGAATTTATTAAATTGTTCTTTTCATCCATTGTTATCTCCTGACACAGTCGGTCTACACATCTTTCACTTTCGATATGTGTTCTCTTGAATTTTGAGGATAGCGTAGCGTACGTTCGAACTGCCATTATGACTTTATCTTGTCTTTGGAGGTTAAACATATATCAACAGACTTCGTTCAAGCATTTTGTGGGTATCCCGCAGAAATCATAACTTAGTTGACGAATCCCATACACCAGAGAGCTCAGAAGTCTACCGAACGGAAGAGATAACACAGAGTATAATATAACTTCAATGATGCGGAGATATAACTCGTGTATAATGCTGAGATATTTGGAAAACTCCGGACCTCAGGTGTATGCGGTGGGGAACGAACGCGCGCTATTGTCCTTACCGGGGAGTAGCGCACTTCACCACCACGCCATCCGGGTCCTTCGTTTTGCCTGTCTCCCACCTAGTTCTATCGATCTCTGCCATTAGCAATCACCCGTCAACGGGTTTGATCTAGGGAGCCTAAATCGGCAATTTATAATCACAATCTTAACCGTTTTATTTACTGCCTATTTTTTTTAATGGCAGGATATATCCTTCTTTTTTTACGTTACGTTCTCCACCGCAGACACCTGCAGTCCGGAGTTTTGCAAATATGTCAGCATCGTTGAAGCTATATTTCGCCATATCCCCTGCAATTAAAAAGAATAGGCAGTAAATAAAACGGCTAAGGTAGCACAGAGTTTTACGCCGATGTTCCGTGGCTTTTCTGAGAGACACAAATGAAGCCAATGTTAGCGTTCTTCTCCTACATAGTTCCTTTTCCATGTTATTTTTCACATTTATTGAGCGCCCTAGCTACACATAGGAGGTGATCATTGTCATGAGCGACACATCTAGTTTCATTTCGCTACTTTAGCATAATCAACCTTCCATGAACTGTTGTCGTCATATTTTTGTACACAGTAGGGTCCCTTTTTCTGTCTTGTTGAGCTGTTTGAGCATCGGCTCTGTTTCGTTGGTACTCTTTCCGAAGACCGAGGAAAGAATTTAGCCGAATTTTCCATTAATTTATACGCTTTGTTGTATGCCCATCAAGAAGCATCCACTCCGAAGTGCTTTTTGGTGACGGTGTCGCCTTTTCGGTGAGCACGCAAATGTCAAGGACCCTAACAGGACTGCATTCGTTCGGAAGCCCTCGATAGCTTTTTCGTATTCGACGTAGTTAAGACAAAATTTAGTTTGGAATTCCCAACAAACTTCTATGATTCCAGGAATGATTTGTAGGAAATCCATGTTACATAGTTTACGTAAAATCTTGCTTGCTCAATCCTTTCCTTAAGGTAACCAAAGAAAATTCTTTTTAAAAAGATAAGTCAAATTCGGACTCTCGTCTGTAACTGCTACACCTTACTCCATAAGGCTTGATGAGCTGCACCAAACAAGTGGACCGTAACTAAAAGTAGTTTCAACATTAATTTTGTGGTCACCTTATTGTTGAACGGTGTTGTAACTCGTAGCGAATTGATTCACAGAAAAATAGTGGAACAGAAAAGCCGGCATTCAGTAAAGAACAACTGCACTAAAGCATGAACAAGCACTGAAACTTGTGAAATGGAGCCCATAGCTCTATGATGGCCTAGGGCTCGAATGCTGAGAAAAAAATTAAGAAGTGTGAATAAATTTACTATGTTTCATTTTCTTGTATGCTAGAAAACTCGGTTCGTTGTCCACATTCATCCCATACATCTTGATCTGGGGTCCATTTCTGTCTTGTGGTCATTGAATTTCATGAGCACGATCGTGCTACAAATTTAAGATCTAATCTAAAGCTCTCTTTTTAAAGCATGGAAGTAATTTGGTTATTCTTCTTCTCGTTGGCTTGGGTACAAATCTTCATATTCTTCTACACGCTTTCTCGCGTTGTAGAAAACCATTCTTAGTATTAATAACCAAAACTCATCGAAGATAAAAATACTGTATCACTAGTGGTCACGTACTACTGTCATTGATTATGATGGGATATCAAGTTGAACATCAATCATTTCTTCCTTTATGGGTTACTGCGCGCATGGGCCCTTTATGAGATCGATTTTAAGCCGACCTATAATCATGCTTTGTGCCATATCCCTAGATTCCCAATGAACAGTGAAGCGAAGTCGATTACGTACTTGTTGGCGGATTCAAGGAAGTACAACATTGCTTGCCTGTGCTGTGCAGGATTGACTTATGTTTCCCCATATGTACATAACGCTTCCATCAGTAGATTCATTGATGCGTGGTGCATGTTGGTTCGACCAAACTTCTTCGGATGATTGATAGCAAAATATTTAGGAGGCTCTTTGGGATCATCGCCAGTAAATAAGATCCAGTCTACCTACAGGTATACCAGAGGCAAAGCAAGGGCCTTAGTGGTACAATGTGTAATACGCGAGCCCATGGAAAGAGTAATCATGGTTCAATCTTGCCAGAGGTCTAAGTTTTGCGAATATCTCAGCATCGTCATGGTTGCATTTCACATCATACTCTGCCGTGGAAAATTGTAGTAGGTGGCAAATAAAAGGTTAACATTGGTATACTTAATTCTCATAACAAAGCTTGCCATCCTAGCAGCTCTATCATGCGACATGGATGAATAGAGATGGTGTACGTTTGGGTTATTTAATGATTAATGTATAACGCACCGCTACCGCATTTCGTGGTTGGCCCAACCGTTCACAACCAATTTTGCGTGAGTTGCGGCCTGCGAACTTTCTGGTTTTTTGACTACAAAAATGGTTTGCTCAATAATTAGAGGACTTCAGGAAATGTCATTAACACATTGAAATTCTAGAAGAGATTTTGATCAACGGATGGTGTTTTTATGACTTCTCTCATTACGTTTTTCTCTCTGATTCGCTTAAATAACTTTTTGCTTATTACCATGTTGCTAACCACTATTTCCTTATTATTAATGACGGTGTTCGTGGATTGTTATCCCATCTTAAGTACTCATTAGTTAAAGGACAATAGCGCGTTCGTTCCCCACCATAGACACCTGCGGTCCAGAGTTTTGCAAATATCTCAGCAACGTTGTGGTTGTATTTCGCTTAGTACACTGCCGCGAAATTATAGTAGGCAGAAAATAAAAAGGTATAACATACTCATTAGTTAGTTTTAGTAGATGTCGTTGCTCACAAAGGATGATCAGCCTAAACCACTCAGCTACCTTTGTACTCGCTGCATTGCAATAAAATTATTTGAGGTCAGTTCAAGCCCTCAAATGACGCCCAGAACGAAGTCTAAAAAAATTTTTCCCACTTTAGATTTAAAAATGATGGTATCTTTTTGCTTTAAGGTCAACATCCGTTGGCGACGCATAAACGACGTTGCGTATTCGTTCCGCGATTTTCTCGATCAGTTACGAATCCCACCAAGAGCGAAGAAGGTGGTTAAGAAATTAAACCAAGGTCTACGATTTATCAACACCACTACGACACTCTCGAGATCGAAGAATACCTCTTCTATACCTTCTTCTACACTTTTTAAATTTGTAAATGGTTAGAGAAGAAGTGCAGGATGTACTTCCTAGTTACGTTAGTGTACCACAACAAAGGTATATTCACGCGTCTTTAACATGTATGTCGTTACAACTATGATTTCGACGTAGTTAGATATAGATACAGTGGTAATTCTTTTTAATTTTTATATAGCTCAAAAGATGACTAACAGCGACCATTCTGGCTTATATTCTTTCCAACTTTCCATTAATTTGGTATGTGTTTTAGGGTATACGAAATTCACTAGCCGACGTTCTACGAGAAGTTAAGCGTTGGGGTATGTACGCTTTTAGTATTATTTTGTGTTAATTGCTGCTGGCAGTTATTTGTCATATTCTAAGCCGGTTTTCATTACCGAAATACTTTCTTGGTATCAGGAGGCAGATAGTACGGTGGTTGTGCTGCCGAGCATCACGATCATTGTGCTGATTCGCCCCCGCCATTGGCTCTCCATGTCTACCATCTCTCCAAGGTTGACATATTGGTACCAAACTTTTCTGAGAATGGTTCTTTCACTCTTTGCACTGCAGATGGAAACATCCCAACCTGTCCACCTAGGGTCTTTAAGGTGAATCGTCTCGACTAGCATTTAACAACATTCATTACGAAGGGAAATTCCTCAAGCAGCAGCCGAACCCACAGACAAAAGCGGAAAAATCTTCGTGTATTATAGACAAGGGGAAGTGCAAGAAGTTTTAGGATCTACGCAGTAGATGCGAACGACTTGTTGTACAAAAAAATAAAAAGGAAAATGCCTCTTTAAATATTTGGATAGGCCGTCTTCACTAGTAGCTCTTGCTTCAGCACACTTCCCATTCGCTTCATTCTCGGACAGTCGTCATCTGATTTACTTCAAACATTGTGAAGACCGCTGGGCATATTCCGTGATCCAGAAATTATTTTTATCTGTGGGTTTAGGTGGTTGACCTAGGTAGGCCACGAACACGTCATGTGGATAGTTGTGCGAGAGGAAGTTTGCACCTTCTTGGAAACCACTCCACCGTTCTCTTCACCCATCTGCCATTTTCTTATTATCGATTAAATATACTCAAGAAGGTGCTGAGCAGGAATTCTTTGATAAAAAAGCTCTGTCCATCTGATTTCATCTTCGTTCATTTGTTTTCCATCTGATTTAAATGACCATTTACCTATGTATTTAAATTCTATAACTGAATAACTTATATGGTATGGTTGAAATTTAAGCTCGTCTAGGTCCTTTGTTTGCAACTTGGAAAAGACTTTAGCGCATAGTGCTGCTCTCATGAAACAGTTGTTAATTGTTTGATCGATAGTTTATTAGCGTTATAACAGTTGCTATATTCTGCAAAATTATAGAATCGAAATACGTTTCCATGATAGTTCGTTCAATTATATCACATGAGACGAGAGGTTTCGGAAGTTTGCTCGACTTCGAAAAGTGGTGGATGAATGGTCACGATGTTCATACTGCTCGACTTCAACTACTGGTTACGATGTATTTGATCGCACACCGGCTGTGGTGGAACCATAAAAGAAAATGAACATAATGTAACCATAATTATGCAGAGATATTTGCAAAACTCTGAATCGCAGTTAGCTGCGGTGGAGATTCGCACTATCATCCTTTCCGGAGGCTGACGTGTTCACCGCCATGCGGGTCCTTCGTTTCGCCTTTCTGCTTGAACGTATTTGTGCTATATCAGCCGTCAACGGTATTGGTTCAGGGAGCACAAATCGGAATTGAATCCAGTTAAGCTGAAGTTGCAATATAAATAACATTGTAGTCACTTTTTATTGACTGGCTTTTCTAAAACTAACATAGTTATTCATAAGAGCATTTATCAACAGAGAAGACCCTTGATTAAGATTATATACCTACCTTAGTATTTTCTTTAACGGCTCACTATTGGATAATCTGGGTCACTAATCATAGGCCTACTCCTTTCATCATCACTTTTTTCTCCATCGTTGGCATCCCGACTCCATCTGTGCTTCTAAGGATTTTATCCCTCCATTTTTCTGGCATCTTAAAACTGATGTAGAGTGGTGCCTCATCTACTGTGGTTCTACAAATTTATACATGAAGCACTAATGTGATGTCCGATATGGATAAGATCGATAAATGCTGGAAGCCTTTATCTTCGTGTAGTAAACTTGAACATGCTAGCAAGTGAATATTCGTTACTCAATCTACTTAAGACCTAAATTGAGCAGTTTTCTTGTGATTACTAGCTTAAAGCAAAAGATTCTTGTACAATGACAACCGATAGTTTGTAGATGAAAAACACTCTGAAATGTTTCTCGATGAGCCGAAATCGAAGCATCGCGTCATGAATAAGAGTGAACATCTTCGCACGTTCTACGAACACCTCGTGTGGAAAAACTCGACGTGAGTGAAAGTTTGATAATTGGGGAACCGTAGATTTGTTTTCATTCGATTACTTCTTCCTAAGAGGCTCTCCTGTACAGCTACGTAATCAATCAAAAGTAGCGAAAACATCTTACCGGACCTGACGGTATGGCCAAAAAATCTCCTAGAAAATAGCTAGAATTCACCGGTTAAATTAGAAAACTCACCTTAAAGCTTCGTGGCCTACAGGGTCGAACTGGACGACGCGCTAACGGCGAAACGTCTTGTCGATAACGAGTGCTCGAACTGGCCACAGATGCAGTTCCAGTTCGCTTGTATGTACGCGTTCACTTCCTTAATCGAGGACAACTTTCGTTTCGACAAGTACCGCCGTATCACATTAAGGTAAATCTGAGCATTAGAAATGCATTAGAAGTGGAAGTCAAATATCATTAGCAATCGAAATAACACCTTTGATGTCAGATCTCTATCAAAAAGCCCAGATATGGTTGTTTCTCATATTTTTGGTAGTGCCGCACACGCAGTCGAGTCAAAGGCGTACCAATCAACAACGATTTTCTTAAACATGAGAAAAGGAGAAAACACAAGTTCAGGTTTCTTGTGATATAAGAGGAGGAACAGAAATGCAAGATCTAGATAAAAGGAGGTTGAAGGAAGGCGAATACAGTGAGGGTTTTATGAATTTTCCACCTACTACTTTCAGAAAGAATTCACCACTTCATTCCGACTGGTGAAAGAACCTTTTGCGAAACACTCGTTTTCTCTACTGTCTACAAAAGAAATACATTTGAATGCTGTTATAGCAGTTCCGTTTCAATTAATATCTCCTTAGGCTGCAGATTTCTGTCTTTTCATCAATCCTTGGAAAATCCTATTGAAGCTGTGAATTCGCGTAAACGAAAATAAAAGAAATTAGCCGTGATCTGACTTTCAAAACGAAAGAGACCAGCCGTAATCCGCTTTTCTAATTTATGAAAAGGTGAGTTTTTGGGTTCGATTATTTCACTGTTTTAGGAAGCAACTGTCGGATCACCCAGTTTACGACTTCTGGTTGACTTTACTGGATAGTACCTGGGAGGTTTTCTTCAATACAGGCGGGTCCGCATGACATCAAAATGTTGGCTGGCTACAGTAATTTGCCGTTAACACTTGATATATTTCAATTAAATATGCAAAATAGTTTTTAGAAAATCGGGTACCCAATCAGAAGCTGATGTTATGCTTTCAATTCGCCATTCGACACGGTTACTGTCAGCTGGTAGAGTATATCTGGGATAAAATCGACAACAATACGAGAGAGTACATAGGTGGGTGGATGTTGCATTACCTACAGTCCCCGTTAATGATCGAGTATAACTCGAATAAGCACTAACTAGTAGAAATCACAATGTTTTAACGTTTTGTTTTCTGCCTTCTATAATTTTCATGGCAGGTTACTAAGCGAAATACAACCACAATGTTGCTGAGATATTTGCAAAACTCTGGACCGCAGGTGTCTATGGTGGGGAACGAACGCGCTATTATCCTTTCCGGGGAGTAACGCGTTCACCACCACACCATGCGGGTCCTTTGTTTCGCACGTCTCTCAGCTATTTCTATCGATCTTTTTGCCACAGCAATCACCCGTCAGCGGGGTTGATCTGGGGAGCGCAAATCGGCATAGAACCCAGTTAAGCTATGGCTGTAGTTGAAATCACAATGTTTTAACGTTTTGTTTTCTGCCTTCTATAATTTTCATGGCAGGTTACTAAGCGAAATACAACCACAATGTTGCTGAGATATTTGCAAAACTCTGGACCGCAGGTGTCTATGGTGGGGAACGAACGCGCTATTATCCTTTCCGGGGAGTAACGCGTTCACCACCACACCATGCGGGTCCTTTGTTTCGCACGTCTCTCAGCTATTTCTATCGATCTTTTTGCCACAGCAATCACCCGTCAGCGGGGTTGATCTGGGGAGCGCAAATCGGCATAGAACCCAGTTAAGCTATGGCTGTAGTTGAAATCACAATGTTTTAACGTTTTGTTTTCTGCCTTCTATAATTTTCATGGCAGGTTACTAAGCGAAATACAACCACAATGTTGCTGAGATATTTGCAAAACTCTGGACCGCAGGTGTCTATGGTGGGGAAAAAAAAAGATCGATAGAAATAGCTGAGAGACGTGCGAAACAAAGGACCCGCATGGTGTGGTGGTGAACGCGTTACTCCCCGGAAAGGATAATAGCGCGTTCGTTCCCCACTAACTAGTAGACTTCATTCGCTCAACGGTCACAGTTGCTCATTGAGCTCCGCTTACGTGTTGTTCATGATATGCATCAAATTTCTAGTATGGTGCCCTTATTCCTTGCCGTTTATGGCGAGAAGTTGCCAAGCGTACCTCACCCCTGCATAAAGTCGGTTTATTGTTGGCTGGGTTTCCGCATGGAACTTTGGAATTTATTCTCAGCTTGGTGACCTTGGTGAATAGATTGATCCCTGCTCTACACTGCAATTCAGCACTACGGAACACATTCAGTTGTGATGAGCGGAAAACAACTGAAAGAACCAGAATCAAATACAGTTGATAAATCGTAATTCGAGCTAGCACTACAGGATGTCGAAGGAGTAACAATCCACTGTTGACGTGATCGTCTTTGTTGAAGGGAACGATGTCGCTTCATCATTTCAGGTCTTCTGCAATGGCGAGCGTTGTGCTTTCGAGCCAGAGATCGTGACACGATGCGGTTTCTCTGCACTCGTCTCTGTCACATGAATCCAGTGGGCATGGCCCGAATCTCGTGGACCATCTTCTTCGACACTTTCTACAATTCTATTAATGTAACGCAACAATTTTACCACTACTTTTAAAGTTGTTAGTGACAGTGTAGAGTAGGGTGCTGCTTACCGTAATGTTAAAAAATTTTTGTATAGTCACAGGAACAGGAGGATTTAATTTTTGGTAAAATATTTTGTGAGGCGTGTTTCTAAAAGCAGTCGTAAAAATGTGAATCTGTCTACGGACATCTTAATGCGTTACCATTACCATATCTGTTCTCGGTTGCCACTTTCAAGTCCAAATATGCCAAGCATCGAAAATATTCAGTGATTTTAATGTGCATAGTGTATCCTGTAGTTATTTAAACACTGAAATTTTAGACTGGAGAAACGAATTCGACGATTAACGGAGCATTAGATTGTGTTAGACTAATGTAAATTATAGACATGTGTCTACTGCACTAGCAATGAGTCGCAATGAGATCTTAATACTTTATGCAGGTCGCTAACAACTTCAGTATTAGCAAAACCACCATAATACATAATACATACATATAATAGTAGTCATCACCTTAAAGGATTTCCATGAATGTTTAAAAAGAAGCAGATTCCACCTTCTAAGTTGTGTAAAATACCCACGCTTACCTAAGTGTTGAATGATTGTCAATTACAGAACGAGGAAAGCGATATCGTCGTCGAAAACAAATTCCGAAAAAGGCTAGAATTTCTCATTGAAAACTGTTGCTCAGAACTGAGACGACGACTATTGAAAATGGAAAACTTTAGGTGATTTCTAAAGAATTCTCTAACTGTTCGGTAAATCGGACGAGTGTTTATGTTGGAGAAACGAAACACTGTAGCACTTTCTTCCTACTTGAGGAACTAACCCACTAGCGTTAGGGCTATGAAAGGAAGAATTTGATGCTGACAGAAATTCTTCCTCAAAATCAAAAAATGTTTGATTACCACAAGTCGCTGTTCTGGATTTTGCTTCTACTGCGAGTGGTAAATGCTGATGGCGAGGACTTTTGGATTTGGCTAATAACAGAGGAAAGCAGTCACAGCGAAATCGGTCGTTTTCCCTGAGGCAGTTCAAGAAGGTTATGTCGAGGAATCCGAAGTAGACACTTTCTGTACGAACCGAAATTTGGTTATTCACATGTCCATTCTTCAATCATCTTTCAGAATTTGCCTCGGAGATTTGGCACTTTTTGGTAATAGGAGGAATAGTGCAGCCTTTGCAGAGTTGTATCTGATGCATTTCGCTACAATCAAACAGAGACGTTTGCATTTCTTCTCAAGCACATGGATGGCGATCAACTAAGAAATGCAAGGTTCGTCCATATAACTTTACCAACCTATTCTTCCCATTTATGGGTTTCTTGTTGATTTTACCACTTTCAGAGAAATTGTTGATAGAATCCAAGGTCGTGAGAACGGAAACGACGACGAGCGTTTCCGGAAGGTTAGGTTGCATCGACAATTCACCATCGACTAATCACTGTAATGTAGCAGCCTATAGCAACAACTAGCTTGCGATTAAGAAATTCGTGGCAGAGTGCGTTCCGATAAATGCGTTCGTGGTAGGGCATGGCCATTGATTTCAGCACATTTTTCTTGAGATCGTATGTTCTGTTGCCCGAGTTTTTTTCTTACATTACATTTTGCACCAGATCCATAGCTTTTTTACCAGAGGCACCGTGCGCCGGTAGTTCGATGAAGACTACATTCTGTGCAACCAATTTGCAAAAAAAAACAGTTATTTTTCCTTTTGGCGAAGCGTACAGTGCTTCCATAGCTTTTTGTTGCCTCGAAACTGTAACCCTCGGAAAACCTTGGATCATCATATGGGTCGAACTGCGGCTTGAGAATCTCGAAGTTGATTCTATCCGAGTGACTGACTAATGTTTTCAACAGTGGCTCTTATATAAAACATGTTCACACCTTGCTGAACTAAGCCAAGCAAATTTGTAGCTGGCCTCTACACTGCCAAATGTTTTCTGGTGTAAGATAACCCTTGCCACATCCAAATTACCATACAGGGTACGTTTTATTTCGGTCCTTTGAGGTGGGCGACAGGATTATCTTCGTGAAAAACATGTAGAGCACGTTTAATACGCTGATCTGACTGAAGAACCTAAGGTCATACCTGCTGGGCTTTTTGTGCAAACAGAAAAGAGAACAGTGCTTGAAATCGTCTACCCATTTCCAGAGATAGATATTTGATGTAGTACGGAACCACTGGCATCTTAGGTGAGAGGATCCTTGGATTAACATTGGTGTTGTTAGCTTGCTTGTACACCTGCTCTTCACCTTGCCGACTTTCATGAAGTAGTGTGCCCACAATGCTGGTTGTGTAGCGCTGGTTAAATATGGATAAAATAAAAATTTTTTGGCATTCTGTGTTGGATATTCACAACAGCGTTATTGAATAGGAAAAAATAAATCCTTTATTCATAATGAGCTTTTTTAATAGATAGTTTAGTTTCGGTTTTAGATGTTGACAATAAGATTTCACTCTCCTTGAGACAACTTCACTGTCTTTGTTGCAATGTTTTACTCTGAAGACAGAAGAGAGTATTGAGGATGAGAAAATGAAACACAGATGTGTTCGTTTCAAAAAATCCTTCCAATCTACCAGCTGAAACGAATGCTTTATTGTCATGGACCAAACTTTTCTTTCAAACTCAGACACTTGATATCCGTTGGGGAGATTGTAGACAGAATGTATCAGAATGTACTCCACACAAAGTGTATGAATCGGTTAATGGGTACAATCAGTGTGAATTTTTAAGGTTTACACAAAGTCCTAGTGGAGGAGTATGTACGAGCGTGGAATATCCCTATTTACTGTTTCTGTCGGTTTGTTAATATTCGTTAATGGCTTACTCCTAGCATTAGGAAGCAAGCAGTTCGAATTGGACTTCATCAACATAACTAATGCTAGAGAGCATCATGATCAAAACATTTCCTATCACGTATACGACCGTTAAAATCCAATTTATCAAAAGACTTCCTTCACTTAGGAAAAGAAATCGAAAATTTTGGAAAAGTTCAATGGTGACCCTTGCAGCGACAAACACGTGCATATCCCTTTGGTACCGTGCATTAGCATTTATAAGTTTCAGGACCCAGTTTTCGCAAATCAGCATGGTTCAATAAGACATATTAAAGTAAAGCAAGTATTATTAATATTGTTATTTTTATAACCTCCTAACGGTTTACCGCCTTATTGCGGTTGGGAGGAGTTCCTGGGTGTTGGGGCGCGATGTACAGCAGATGAATTCACCCCTAATAGGGTCTCCCATGTTGAGAAAGAGTCTGGCGTTTCCATTAGGAAGCACAGCTAGGAGTAAACCAGTAGCAGGATCCGTTGCTGTCCTTGCATCAAACTAGTCGCATGGTGCCAGACTTTGCCCTGGCTGACCTCGGCACTCCAGGGAACCACAATGGCTTGACTAGCAAAACGCCGAGATAGGGAGATCATACTGGGACCTGCACAACCACTGAGGACGGGCGAATCAACTATTCAAGTTATTTTTATAAAGTAATTACGATGTAGTTATCAAAGAAGCCATGAGTCTAGTTTATAATGGAATAGGAATCACTATTCGTGAAGTTTATATGTATTTTTTGTTCCGCTCCAATCACTATTATTTCGCTTTCACATATGCATACGCTATCAGTGGGATAAAAGATAAGCATACGCTTAGCTCATATGGTGTTCGTATATTACTTGGGATCAAAAAGCCAAACCTGTGTGTGCTTCGTTGTCGATGTAATCTTCGGATCTTTGATTGGTTCGATCTTGGAGGCTATGCGATTTGGAAAGGAAGTTTTTCTTTCGACGATAGACATATTCTGAAACCAACAAAGACTAGGAGTATCAGAGTCGCGGGAAGTTGGGCGCAGACAGACTGGGAATTCGTATAGTGCGGGCCTCCTTAACATGATACCTTCTCCAATCACCCCTACCTTATTCAAGGCAATTTTTCGTTTTAATTCATCGCACGTGAAACTAAGCTGTGTTCTCATTTCCGGCGTTATCGTGATTACCACCGGTTTCTTTCCCGTATCATTCCTAAATTCGCATTTATCACGTGGTAATAAAGTTTCTACACGAAATCTCTTGATTTAGCGTTAAACGATTCCTCGATACACGTCATTCGGGAGTTTTTCGGTCCGAGATGTGCTGCAATTGGCAAATCCAAACACTGCTGGCAATGATTGCAAGCTTTTACAGCTATAAAAACAAAGAGTTCCGCGTTGATCAATTTGAACGATGCGCCATGCATTCCACTTCATTGAGCATCGTTAAAAAGGATACAGCTCTCGGCATTGATCAATCCCTAAGGGATGGGCCGCGCGTTCAACTTCATTAAGCATCGTTTGGAGGTCACTGAATGCATAGCTGACCTGTATAATGACTCCAGGTGGCCTACCGATGTGTCAAGCCAATGCTGCTATCCTCCCAGGCAAGTCTGGTACCAATTTGCCGACCGCGGAGGGATGGAAGCCTGTGGGTCATGGGTGCGGGGATCGATTTCACGTGTGTGTTGCAGATCGCCTTTAATCACTGCACTACACGGGCCCTTCAAGGATTGTTGGAGGTGAAAAGATGTATATCTGATGTATAAAATGACTCGCGGTGGCTTTCCGATACAGCGATTCAGTGCTGGTATCTCCCAGACAGGTCTTGTGTTAATTTGCTAACCTATAAGTGATGGGAGCTTTGTAGAGGTAAAGAGGTTCGAACCAACGACCATGTGTGTATAGCAAGGCGCCTCTAACCACAGTGCTATGTTCATCCTATTTACAGCTATACAAGTGAAGGTCTCGGTTTGGGAATTTACGTGGATGACCCTCTACAACTAGAATAATATGCTTGCAACTCTTACCCTTGCGAAGGCTCCTAGAGTCATATTCGTGAGCTTTGTACAAACATGCTCTCACTAAACTTACTGCACATCTTTGACATCATCAGCCGTTATGATAGTGGATATCAGTTGTCCATTACTTCTCTTTGCACCCGTCCTAAATTGTTTGCTAAATGATGCCTTTGTTAGTATTGCTTTTATAAATCATTTATTAACTGGAGTATGGAGTCAAACACCGGGTGCAAGAGAAGTCCACGTCCGTGTAGGCGTTCCTTGGGAGGATAAACGAGGATTTTCGAGAGAATACCGATCAGATGAGGATCCGCATTCGGGCACAGCTGAATGGACGCGGATGAAATCATAGTGACGCAGACAAGGAATAAGAATGAAAGCCCTGATAATTTACCATGCCCAATCCAGTGCCAACCACTACATAGCCATCGAATATAATTTCGGTTGGAACCCGCATCACTTTTACGTCCTCCGTTGTTGGACTGCCGATACACAAAAAAATCAGCTTCAGCTGATGTTTTCGATGACGTCCGGGAAACAAAACTTTCCCACGGATCATTTCTCCAAGAACACACCCGGCAGACCAAATGTCTAGAAACGATGAGCATTTTAATCCCTCTACACGAAGCTTTTAAAAAAGTATTAAATTAATGATGACGATTTTCAGTGGTGAATTTCTTCGAAATTGTTTTACTGGAACTATTGGCTCTCAACGCTGGGAATACCATGGTTCTTTCGTTGAATATTGGAGGCACCCTACCGAAATTTCAATGGTCCAAGAAGAGGTTTACACTTTTACTTCTCAATATGTGGATTAGAGACATAGCTCTCATAAGTTGCAAATGTATAATCTGTATCATTTGTAATCCAATATTAACTACCTACTAATTCTACGGGCAGCATCAATATTTCCACTCGCCTCTATCCTGTTCACAGCCGCTCAGTGTGCTTTGCCTATCATGAGGATCACCACTCTTTTTGCACAAGGCCCTTTATATTTACTGCTCTTGGTGATAAGACGGCCAGCAAAGATCAGCAGGCACAGCTCTACTGTGGAAGAGGAGAGGCGTATAACCAAGAATATCTACTTCAGGGGTCCAAACACTTGAGTGTTAGACTTTTGGTAAAAAAGCTAAAAGATGCTAGCTCTCGTTAGCTAGTCACTGAACTGAAAAACAGAATTGAACAACTAAAAGGCAAAATTAAACTATTCAGATATAAATGCATGACAATGATGAAAATTTCTTCGAAAGATGTTCCTCTGAGAACAAAGCTAAACCAATAAGCAATTAAAACCAACCGACGGTCCAGTTGTAGTATTCAGCGCCTAGCAGCAATTCAGGAGGTCGGTAGAATCTGGTGACCTATAAATGATATCTGAGTGGAGACACCAGTAAATATGACACTGCTGCTTTTAAATTTAAACCGAATATTGTTTATGATGATGTGAACTCTACAATCGTTTTGCTGTACAAGACATGAAGGCAAGAAATCGCTATATAAGAAAAAGGTGAGGAATTTATCATTCATAACCAGCGAAAGCAAGGGTTAGCCATTCAGACCTAAATCTCTCGCTTCAACCAATTAACAGCATATTTTTTAATTCGATTGCCACCAAATAACAAATTTCTCGTATGTGTGGGAGTCGGTCGTTACACCAGTTATTTATGGTCGGTGATCCTCTCGTCTATGCCTTGGATACAAGTGCGCAGCGACTAACCATGAAAGAGTTGATATTGTTTCAGAAAAATTGCTGTAATTCACTGTTTTTCTTCAAGCGCAAACACGAGATAGGTATAATTTGACTTTTGCTTTAAAATTTTCCCCGTTAACCTCTGTTTCCTACGGGGGCCTAGCGATGTACCCGGTTTAGCCTTAAGGTGTTCTTTTACGTGGACACAGAGTGGTCTGCCTATTTCGGCAATGAATTCATCCCTGCACCCTTTAAAAAAGATCAGATAAACCGTGCCCGAATTCATGCAATCACCATCTGCACTGTTAAGGCATGCTATGCAATGTTGCGTTGTAAATAGACGGCCATACAGGAGATTACGTACCATCTGGCGTCTTAGAGCGCTCGATGCTGTTTCAGCCAATGTCACCAAGTATACCGGCCCCTTTCTGAGCAGCGCAGTTGTGCTCATTTCGTTTGAAACGAAGAACTGGATGAACGTGAGCTTTTCCGAGGAAGTCCCACCGCATTGTAGCCATTACAAATGCCTATGCTCCAATTTTAGAAGTTCTTCCTTCTGCTTTTTTTCTGTTCACACGGTGACCGTTCAAAATGTACTTCGGCAAACCGTGCGAAATAAAAATGAAAGCAAGAAGTAGAGGCATTACCATCACCTTCCTTTCTCGAGTGTTCTTTAGACATCAAGACCCAGAGACAAAGTGCATATCAATTTTCGCATATTTTTGAATGAAATTCCCAAAGTCCTTAACCACTACTACGAGAGAATGTTCAGTTCCAGTCTAACAGCAGCGCAGCAATGTGGAACGCTTTAGTTTCGAGAACTAATAAAATCAAGAATTATTAGACTATCAGTTAGTGATAAGATTGGAGTGCTAGCAGTCATTCCTCGCTAGATGTTGCGATAACAGAAAAACGTCTTGAAGGCGTCTCGTTTGATCGTTCAGTCATTTGATCGATCAACTGAAAATGAATTGGAAAGTCACTATCGGAAAAAAATGAATAACGAATGGCTTAAAGTGGCAAACGCTGCAGGCCTGAAACCATCAGTTATTTTGCAATTTAAAATTGAATTACCAACACGCATCGTCTTACATTTACTTATCAAAACACGCAAGTTAGTATTCACTGATGATCTGGCGTCTACCAACCCGTCACCTTCAACCCATCATCAGTTGTGTAGACAGGTCTACCGATAGAATGGCTTGGTTTATAAACCTAATTCTCCACCAGTTTCTGAAGCACATATCAGCCCATTTCACGAATACCGAAATGCTCCTGGATCGCCTGCGTAATGTGAGTCCCAACAGCGCGTCTGTTGTGGAGTCCTTCGACGTTACTGCCCTTTATACCAACGTGTCGCGTGATATCCCGCAATACAAGCCATCCGGGAGCGTCTTGTGCAACATGAAGGAACAGTAAACACGTACGGTTTCTGGATTCAGCAGCTCATGGCCCTTCTAGAGCTATGCGTAAACTGTTACTGACCTAAGCCAGGCACATTCCTCGCCAATGTAATACTCTGTGCGGCTGATGTGCAGCAATTAACTGGAGGACATACGGCGAACAAAGCGGTAGGTGTTTAAAAGAAGCTGTTCATTATGTGAATGCAAATTTATGTATTGTGTGCTAACAAATGTCATAATACCCACTTCATGTTTACTCATTGAAGAAAAACGATGAATTATTGATCGATGCCAAGGTTAATAGAAAGTTGGTCTCGGGATTTGCTGAAGGAAACGTTGTCAACAAGGCGATTAGTAACTAACTATTTTATAACCAGTCGTTTCACACGTTTGGCTAAAGCACAGGACAACAAGTAGTCTGGTTCCTACTTAAAAAACTCAAAAAGTAGAAGTTAGTGAATGATTTGCATGAACAAATGTTTTTAGCTCACTTGCTCCAGTGTAAATCAGCACTACTGAGAGTATCAAAGACCCTCGTTGGACTGATAGATATCGAAAGTTTTACAGGATTTGCTGCTGAACCCTACATTTGTGAAAAGTGTAGTGTTTGGCAAAATTCGACACCTGATATGCAGTTGACTTGGCTACCTTTCTAACTGTCTTAGCTGAACCGAAATCTCCAATTTTTAACAGCCCAACCAAATGATCCAATAATACGTTCATCGGCTTTATGTCACGGTGAACGATACTATGCTGAAATGGAGATTACTTAATTCCACTTACAATCTGAAATCAAGTACTAATAACGAAAATCATCTGAAATGAATAGCAGGAGGTAACGTTCACTTACCGCACTTAGATAACGAAGTCCATTAAATAGTTGCCATGCATAGAGTTTAATATCTGTTGTGTCAAGTTTTTCTCGTTTAATCACCGAAGCAAGTGTGTCAGGAAGAAATTCGAAAACAAACGATTCGCACAGCTAAACTATAGGTATTGACTGGTCAGCGACTGCTTCTCATAGTGTTGGTTGCCATGTTGTGCCCCATGGAAATGGGATTCATATCCTTCGGATACAGTAACGAGACGAAAGTAGATTTTTAATTATAGTCTATTCGTCGCCATTGAAATTATCGTTCAGTGTCATCAGGTCATCATTGTAAACTTCTTGTAATGAAGAGTTCCTAAACGTTCTGCTCTTTAAGGGCTGTTATAATCGCGGTTTAACCTGCAGTTCCGATGAGGACTGTAGTAATAATAGGAAAGTGATCCGATAACAGTCCCATGTGTTACCTTAAAAAACTAGATAGTAAATTTATAACAGCCGACAGCTTGTAGAAGAGGTGCGTGCAGAACTAATTTGAGGTTCAAGCGAGTTGCTGTGCTGATCCCATCAAAAAGCAAAAAATCGCCCTGTTATCATCGGAAATGTGGAAAAATTTGGGAATGAGTCACGCATACTTGTCACTCAGTCAAGACTCCGCGAGGATGGTCTCTACCAAGTAACTAGGAGATCTGTAAAGCATAAAAGGTGAGTGAATAAAACTCGGGACCTTCGAACACGCATTTTCCTTGCTGGTGGTTCAGGCTATATAATCACACTACCCGTAACCCTTGTTGGCTTTTCTCTCAGCAATTTTTTCACTCTATCGGTTAAAAGAAAGATAAAGCTCTCGGCATTGACCAATTTCTGAGGGATGAGCCACGCACTCGACTTCATCTAATACCGTTAGAGGTGACAGAATGAATATCTGCCCTACATAACGACGAGTTGTGGCCTACTGATGTAGTGGATAAGTGCTACCTGCCATGCTCTCAGACAGGTCTGGTACTAATTTGTCTATCTCGGAAGGATGGAAGGCGTGGTGAGCAGGGGCGCGGGATCGAGCCTCTATGTTCTGTAGGGCACCTCTAAACTCTGCGCCACAGGTGCGATACTCTCTCGATGCTATCAGTAATCACCAGTCAGCTGGAAAGATCTAGAGAGCACAAATCGGCATGTTTCCTCTACTATCTGCAGGTAATGAACAAAAAGTTGGAAAGGTGAATGTTTAAAAGAAGCGGTTTCACATGTGTCTAAAATTTAGGTATTAAGCTTTTGCTGCTGAGGCTATGACAGTGTTTAGCTGAGTAGATTGCCTGTCAATTCAACTTTTCCAGCGTTTAGCGAAACCGCCGAAACATCAGTCACTACTGGATAAGTCTCGTTTTTGACAACTTCATGTCTGCTCAAAGGAAAACAAAAGGTTATTGGGCAATGCCGAGGCTAATTGAGGTCCGATCCTAAGAAAAATCATACACTGCGTTTTAAGTGAATTCAGTGGTGAGCTCCGAGACCATGAGCCGCCATAGAGGAATGGAGTAGAATCATCTAGTGGAACATCTAACGGCCAAAAAGCCGTTCGGTTCGACAACAGCGGTTACACCTTACGCAATTTAAGCGGCGAGTAAACAGAGCAGTTTCTCTTAAGCCCTTTAATTTTAACCACAACGATGCTGAGACATTCTTAAAAGTTGGACCCCAGGCCAGATTGTATCATACAGGGGCTCGCGCATTACACGCTGCTCCACGGAGGCCCTTGTTCTGCGTTTCTCTCAGCTGGTCTTCCACCTAACTTTGCCATCAACAATCACCCATCAACGGGATTATCTGGGTAGCACAAATCGGCATTGAACCCAGTTAATCTGACACCGTAGTCGAAATCACAATGTTAACGTTCTTTTTTTGTATGCTATAATTTTTCACGGCGGTGTATGATGTTCCCGCGTTTTCAAAACTAATTTGACTGCGACATAGTTACAAATAATGTTATTCCATGGCAAAATCTTTTACTAAAAACATGCACCTCTCCATGGCGTGCTGTAGAAGACTAATGGGTCACGCGGTGTAGATAAAAACTAGATAAAAAAGAAAAGAGTAGATCAAAACCACTTGCCCTGTCATGCTTTCCTGATCGATTTGAGAACGCAAAAATCATTTGAACAACGTTTTTATGTGGTTTTCTACCAATACCGGTTAAAAAAAGCATTTCGAAATTCCGTTCTCTATTTTCTGAAAGCAGATGTGATTACGTGGTGAACTCTCTTCGAAGAGGCAATACACGCTGAACTGATCTGAAGTCAGTCGATACACCAGTGTACTCCTCACCTGCTGCAGAAATGTGAAAGAATGGCATCATAGTTAGTAACTTTGTAGGCTTTCTTTGCAAAGTTCGACGCATTGTTAATTCAAAAGCCATTGAAATTGTACCACTTGCAGAGTAGATGTGTCACTAAAAACTCCACCGAGCGCACCTGGCCAAGTTTTCTTGATCGCAATCTCACGCTGTGGGGCCGGTTCCAATAACGTTCCTCTATAATGAAATTAACTTAAGAATTGGCTAATGGGTGTGGTTGTTATGACTGGTATTGGCTTTTTACACGCTTTATCAAAATCAGTAAAAGTGAAGTTAAGGACGAAGTGGAGGTTCTAGGAAGACAAAGTGGACGATCAGTAACCAAGCAGGCTTTCAACGATAGCGACTGAATTGAACTCATTCAATGTCGTTGTCGCGGTTCATTGCGGCAGCTCATACTATCCACCCTAATGGGCTCCTGCTCGGACGAAGTTCGAATCCACCATAGGAACTTCAGCGACAAGTGTATGCACAGCACAACCACATTCATGCGATGTTCTTCGGTATGTGGTATTAATCGTCGGTTGGTCAGGTATTGATCGTCAATTGCTGCTGTTCTTGTCCAACATGAGAAACAGGATTGACAAGGTGATAGAACATGTGCTATGCTACAGGGTTCTATCCGTTCCTCACACTGTTTCGGCGTTACATCTAGGTAAGAATTCTTAATTTCTTGTAGAGAAATTGTGCAGTTTACTAGGTGAAAGCGCTTAAACTCATCGACTACGGACATCCCGTAGAGCCTAAGATAACTAGGATTTACAATTCCTATGACCGCATTCCACCGATGTGTTTACTAAGTGTTCGAGTTGAATTACAATGATTCAGTGCGATCGTCGATTTCGCCAGCTCTGTGCTCTTACCGATAGACGTTGCTGAACACGCCACTGGCATGCAGTCGCAGATTCGTCATTCTCAGCATCACTGTCTTCATCTGTGGCATTTCCTTGGCCGGCTGAAAGTACTCAATGACTGCCAACTAAGGTCTATGCTTCAAGAAGGGACGCATACCTGCTCCACGATTTTTTCTGAGTCGATCATACAGTGGAATGGCACCGACTGCCACCATATATGCTGGCAGGTTGGTAAAAATGCTACTAACTCTCTACTGTTTTTGAAATTGGCAATAATGATAAAGAGAAAGTAATGAAAACAAGGGTACCATCATAACAATACAAACAAAGAGTCATTGGTGGGGCCTGGTCGTGTGTAAGTGAAACATTTTGAGAGAACTGTAACAGATTATAGCTTTAAGTGTGTTTAATAATCAGTAGATCTAATTCGTATAATCTCCACTTTTGTTTGTATTCTGACCAGGAACTTGAGAGGGAGATGTTATCACCTTATATGAAGCAACTGTTGATTACGTAAGGCAGGTCATCTTGAAAACTTGGCTCTTGCATTGTATTTACTTATATGCCAGTCTAAGTGCCAAATTGAATCACTGACTGAAGAACCTACCAAATGCCTTCAATCAATGCATGGTCTCCTGGCATTGGGTTGAAGGCAATCGACAAAACAAAACCACCTTTTCTAAGTTCTGTCACTGCGTAAGGGTCTGCGCGTTGGTCTTAGAATTGCAGTCATGCCGTTTTAGTATTGAATACTCGAATACATGAGCGGTTATTCTTCACTAATAGTGCGAATCTCCAACACATTGTCCATCGGTTGCGTTCTCTTGCCGTCAGCATCAGTGGTGACGGTGTACTTCGAGCATGACCACACCTGCAGATAACGCCCCGTAAATCATTTCCCGTTGCGAATGCAATTGCTTGACGAGTGTCGCAAGCATCTCTGCTCCTCCATTAGAATGTCAGTAATTTTTATATTCATAAGCTTATATCAGATCCTCACCAAATCCTTATTGCGACTGTAAAGATACTAGGAGATCGTTTTAGTGGACGCTTACGTTAAGCTAAAATCTAGGCAATCAACTTTTCCTTGTCTATCTATCCTCAACTCTCTTTGTTGCAGTACCTGTTATTTTATGTCGTTATACAGCACTATAAAAACTATACACTCTGGAAAACAAACAAGTCGTAAAGGACAAGAAACTGACAGCAGTCGTGCAAAAGATAAGTGGTTAGAGGCAAAAGCAGTACAGGAAAATAAAATCTTTACAACGTGTCTTAGCTAAAAAGTCCTCTTTATTACGAAGCAATAGAAAAAAGAAACTTAAAGGTGGTTTTCGATGGACAAATAAACCGACTCTGCGGAAAAGATCTGCTGTAATCAGAAAGAATTAGCGGAAATATAATGAAGAATTCTTACGGCCTACTGTCTGCTGAACAGAGAATTCCAAGTCAGAAATCCTGTCAAAAATGTTTGAATCCCTGACTGTAAGCACACAATGAGACAAGTTGGAGCAGAAAAGTTGCTTTCAACAAAATCCACGATATTTTCCACCGGTTATCATGCACATTCGTCCAGCACCAAGAATAGGTTTGAACGATTTCTGTCCTCTCAAGGCTATGTGTATCTGCTCGCATGAGTGATTTGGAAGCGTTTTCAAAATTTAACATAATCTTAGTACAAATTAGGGTTTTAAAAGGTATTCACCTACGAAAACTGGCAAGAAGACATATACTATATGGGATCACAATGCTTCAAAGCCCTCGAACACGCTGTCGCCTCTAAAAAATTATCCGGAGTTACAAAAATGGCACGAAGGCTCCCTCAAGATGTCTCCATTAAACAACCTACTGCATATCAGAACAATGATTAACCGAACTGTACGACAAGAAGGCCTCAGATTGCAATGAACTACTTGGATAACACTCAACCTCCACGTGCCTTTACCCTAGTCACAAAAAGGGGTAAATGATAAAGCGTTCGGCTTTGATCAATCTCTTAATGATGGTCCGGCACTCGACTTAATTGAGCATCGCAGAGATTGAACTCATATCTTACTTATACGAAGACTTGATGGAAGCTGTCGATATCAGGTTACTTGTCTTCGTAGAGAGGTATTATAGCAGTTTGACAACACTGTGAGATGGAGTGATTGGCTTCACCGGCAGAACGAGACCGCCCCGAAACCACCAACTCTCCCAGCTCTCCCATAGTTCCGAAGCTGGGAATTTGATATAATACTCGTGAATCGCTCAAGTGTAGCTATTCCAATATTCTGAGAAGAATGGACTCAAACAGTACTGAACGAAGTTCATGAAGAAGACAGAAATCTTCAAGCGGCGGCCTACGCGCAAAAAGTCTGAAGACGTTTGTAAATACAGGATGCTAGAAAAATTCAATAGAATTTAAGAAGTGCTAAGGTTCATAGAATACTTGTTATAAGAAAATACTTTTTTTACGCATTTCCTAATAAGCCATTGGAACAGATTTTTAGGAACAGAAGAGGAGTAGCAGAAAGTGACTGACGATCTTATTTTGATTAGGAGAAAGAATTGTATCTCTAATGATGCTGAGATATTTGCAAAACTCCGGACCGCAGGTGTCTGCGGTGGGGAACGAACGCGCTTTTGTCCTTTCCAGGGAGTAACGCGTTCACCACCACACCATGCGGGTCCTTCGTTTCGCCCGTCTCTCAGCTAGTTCAAAGAATTGTATTGCAATTAATGACTTCTAATATGATAAAAATGACATCACCGTGCTTCTTTATGTTAATGAGGTTGACCGATTGGAGGGATTTCTACATTCCGATCTCGGCAATAGGAGGCATATTTTTAGTCTCGTTTTCATTTTACTGATCGACTCTGTTCACTTTTGCTTCGTCGCAATTTGTAGCACTTTTTATCATTTCTTATTCTTTCCAATATGACCATTACAGATTGTGGCTTATGTTTGCTATGACAGCGGTAGAGGAAGGATTTAATATCTGCTTTTGTTGCATTGAACGACAAAAAAGCTGTGCTATCCATTCAAACGAAGTTGCTTCGTTATCAGTGGTTGCAAGTAGGATTGAGCAGAACGAATCTATCACATTCCTGACAACTTCCTGCATGATTGTGATAAGGCGACGTGCTCTCGTTTCTTGCTATTTCTCTAAAATTAATTCCCATTTTTGATGAATTTGGCTCTACAAATCTTGCTTAGAACAACGAGCTAAGAGCCTGTGCAAAACAATGAAGAAAGGCAATCGCAGTAATTTTCGAACCCAAACTCTTTTTTCTCTCTCCCTTCACCAATAATCTGTTTCATATACCTCTCAGAGAAAACAAGTATGAGTCTTGTCATCTTTCGTAAGAGCTAACTTACCCCTATAAGAACACCTAAGGCAATGGATCAGATGAGGAACTGCGATGGAAGCATATTGATGACAGTCGAAGACTCTCCGCATCGTGCTGCAACAATTTGCATGAAGCGTTGAATGCAGAAGCCAGATGGAGGATCGTGATCAACTATGAGAAAGATATGAAAACGTCAATTTCATTATATGTTTACTTTATTATAGTAAAATTTTACAATGTACGAAATAAATAGAAATTTCCATTAATCTAATGTTGCAGAGTATTTGCCAACCGAACACATCACTCATTTGCAGTTCTTATTTCTTATATGAGTCGTTTTTATCGCCTTCCATTAAAGCGTCAAAGCGGACCAGCTTCTTATCGCCCATCACCTTCGTGTTGTGCTGTCATCACTGATTTGGACAGAGTTCAGTAGTTGTTGCCACACGCTTCCTAGAACGAGTAACTCGGCTCGTCTCTTACACCTTTCACATCAATTGCAGCAGCTACTGCATCTCGAAAAATTGCAAACTTCAAAGAGAAAAGGCTTGAAATTTTTTAGCGTTCCATTTGCTTTTTCAGCAATTAGTGCCTCTTAAGGAATTTTTGATAGTTTTGAAACTTATCAGAATTTCGGAAACCTGAAAGAAACTAGTGATCGATTCCCCGGCATTGAAACATTTAAGAAGTTCTAGTAAACAAAAACATTTTTATGTGGCGGCTCTATAGTATTGTTCATGCAAAGCTTGTTTTTTTCATTCTTCTTACGTTCTGATTTATTCTACGTTCTTTTTCCTTCTTATGCTTTCTCTTCTCTTAATTCTTTTGTCTGTCCCAGTGTTTTCTGGAAAGAACGCCTCAGATTGTTCAAAAAATTTTTCCAAAACCTATAAAACTGACATACAAATAGTTGAGACTTAGGGCGATTTGCACTTCCGAAACTTAACATAGGCAGCGTTTTCAGTTCTCGAAAGGTCTGTTTGTCCCTAATGTCAAAAAGCCTCGATTTAACATTTTGTTTGAATGACTTCACTTTATCTTCGAATCTCAGTTTAAAATCTTATACACCGAAATTATAGTTATTTTTAAACATATTGCAATTTATGGATATCTAACGGCACAGCGGAGTCTTTCACCACCAAAACTGCTTATTTTGCGAAGTATGGAGATTTCTCTTTACATTACGCGGTGAAAAATTCACTTCTGCTCTTTCTTTACCATTTGGATGTTAAAGAACATTATACCACTAACTACACTGGACGCTGATACTTGGTTCTCGCCTTAACCGGCAACTCCGAGCGAGAAGCTGACCGGTTCAATCCACAAGAATATCTACAGGCATAAGATTACTTTAGGAAATGCTACAAATTTGAAAAGGAATCGAGAGTTTACCACAGTTCGTCATCGTGAATGCTCTATAACATGTTGTATAACAAAAATTCTCGCTGTTCTGATGATATAAACTTCTCAACAACAGTAATCGTCGCACTAGCTTGTCACTTTTTCCTCAAGTAGCTTTTCGTGTACGTCTCGTCCCAACTATAGCAATTTTACAAAGAAGTTCTATGAGGCTGGCTTCTTTTGCAAATCTGCGATTACAGTGATGTAAAAGAGCTACTCTATTCAAAATATTAGTGCACTTTATATCCTGTCTTCTTCCTGGCATGAGAAAAAGTTTTTTCTATAGCTTATAACGAGTTGCAGAAAAAGGCGATGGTCGAATTCAATACAAAATGATGGCACTGTGGGGTATCAAGTACGGTCATATTTCGTTTGTTCCATGTGTCACTGATCTATTGATTAAAGATAATTTCCTCTTCTGGCCAATATTTTTCATTCTTGGAAAATTAATCTCAATGAATAAGGCTAACGTCGACAAGCTACCAGCAAGAATCGTCCCACTCTGTTTCAGTCTCCCATTCTATATCAATTTTATATTGACCCCCACTGATCTTTCACATCCCAACGCCAAAGCTTCTTATGAATTCCGAGAATTCTCCGCTGCCTACTACCTCCTCCATCACATCAAAAGAAGTCCGATTGGCGACTTGCCACTTGCGATTACGTTGCTATTAAAGCGACTGTGAATGATGTCATTAATTTTTTCTTGGTTGGGCTTTCGTAGGTAAATTTCGAAGTCCTTCTCACGGAAACCTTACTAGTAAAGTGGGTCAGCACTGCGCAAAGGAGCTCGAAGGGCAGGATCACACTACCCAAACATGATGAGGCTGCAAACAGTCGATGGGTGAGAGACAAACTAAAACTAGGAAAAATCACCGCTTGAATATTTATTTAGCTCATTGAAATGGAAGAGGAGGAAACCTGAATTGATTTTTTTCTTGTAAATAATTCAGAACAAGATTTTTTGTACTGTTAAAGATTGGCTCTTCGTAGCACCAATGAATTGACCATTTGATTCGTTCTAATTATCCATGAACTAATGCTTTCTATAGTGTTGGCATCTGTTAATGTATTGTAATGAAGCAAAAAGTATGGACTGAGAGAAGAAGTGCACCAATTTTTAAGCTGGAACCTTAATGAGAAACTTATCATCACTGGTGATTGCTTCTGTTATGGTGACCAGCGCAACTCCTTTCATAAAGTTTTAGACTGGATTCATTTAAATAAGCGAATTATGGATGAAGGACGAGGGAATGTGATTCCCAGCGTTCATGTAAGTTTCGCCCTTTAAAT